AGCAAAGATGGGTGAGGTTCACTTTGTGAACCACTGGGAATAATTCAACAGTTTACAAAAGTTTTTCATCATACAAATGCAAGAAATTTAGGGATTTCATCTTTTACAATCCATAATATCCAAAGATTTAGAAAATCTGGACAAATCTCTGCAGGTGAACGACAAGTCTAAAAATCACTGCACTCTTCAATCCCTCAGGCAAAGAACGCAGCCCCTGAATTTGGACAAAGTCAATCTCTGTTTGATTGCTTGTTAGCTTTCTCAAGGACCAAGGATGTGTGACACACAAAAAGAAAAAGAATTTTGGAACTGAATTTAAATTATGGAACTGAAATTGAAAGTAGTCCAACTGAATTTTCAATACAACAAAATAGTTTTAGAGCAAATGATTTCATTTTCAAAACTTTAAATTCAGATTCAAACCATTAAATTCAGTTTAAAATTTGGTGAAATTCGCTTTCTAATACAGCTGGTAAAATAAGTATTNTCTAAAGCTCATAAAAACATAAAAATATACAGTAGCATTACTTATTAACAAGTTCAGATTAGGACCAAGTTTTGGTTTGACTGAGAGGAAATCCTTACTGACTGATACGAAGCTTTTTATCAGAACACCTGTGGGTGGAAARGGACTTCAGTCACACCCAGTCTGTAAATAATACACTCAGACCAGCTTGAACACATTTTTTTCACAGCAAAAAGGAAATATATAGGAGTGTTCGAGGTAACGACTAAAATCTGGGAGTGTGAAACTGGAATCAAACCRTCCCACTCTGATCCTGCAGCACCTGTTTGACATGGAGCTGAACAACAGCTGACATTCTGAACAAATGCATTAAAAAGCTGTGCAGCAGCTTGGGTCAAACTGAAGATGAGTCACGTTTCCCTGTGATGAAACAGCTGAATGGAAGCAACAACAGGATGTGGGTGACAGGAAGTGCAACCAGCCAGCCGTGTGAACCAATGACGGCGAAGCCCGCCACTTTGAAATAAAACAAACTTTAGTTCTACACACCCTGGTGTCCCACCCACAGTTTACTGCTCGCCTCACTCTGTCAGCTTATATCTTAATTTACAGACCACTTTGTCACGCTTTATGGGCGACACTGAGGCCAAACGGCTTTAATCACCCCGCTGCCGATCTGTCTGCTAGCAAAATATCTGATGAAACATGGGGCATTCGTTCAATGAATTTCTTTAGTATTTACAGCTCATTAAACCGACAGAGAAAACAGGGCAGTTTTATTCAAAACCTGCCTTTGAGTTTGAACTCATTTCTGGCTCTAATCCTCATCTGATAAAGAGTGAACTTCAATTTAAACCTAATTTTTCACTGAAAAGTCTTTGAAAGCATTGATTTATGTATAAGGTTGCTTAATAAAACAAACCCTCCTCAGCGACTGGACAAATTAATCATCCTACTGCAAGTAATCAGTGCAGCTAAACTTAGAAATATACGTAAACATGGCTGAAACAAAACTAAAGTTTGTTTTACTGTGAAAGGGAGACCCCCGCCCCACCCCCACAGAGGGTTAGGACTGAATTACAGCATTTTCAGCTGTTTCACAAACTTGACAAAGAGCCAAGCTGTGCAAAGCATTTGTGTTTTTACAACCTTCCAATCAGACGGCTCACGTTTTACCAACACGTGGTGCCTGACTTTTCCCCCTCGTTCAACAACAGAGCCGTTATCCTCTTGTCCAAACTCATCAGGCTGCCAAGGAATGTGTGTGTGTGTGTGTGTGTGTGTGTGTGTGTGTGTGTGTGTGTGTGTGTGTGTGAAGAGGGAGGGGAAACATGCACTGCAACAGACAGGCCACTCCCGAGGCCGGGCTCTGGAGGGAAAGTTTGAAAAAAAATAACCACCCTGTGAAAACCAGCCCAGTGTCGTCCTCTGAGCACGTGAGCTTCTCTGCACCCTGAAGACCTGGGAGCAGAACCATGGAGGCATGAAGTCATCCGTGACAAAACCCAGCTTCAACACAAAATATGACCCGACTCAGCGTTCACTCCCAACCCTCTTCTTTGTTTTGTCCTGAAATTTATCATCACTGCTGCTTCCAGAAACTTAACTATGGTCATGCAGGGCCTAAAGCAGTGGTCCCCAAGCTACGGCCCGCGGGCCGGATCCGGCCCGC